TTTATTCACAATCTCCTCATCACAGGCAGGCACAGCACTCAATTCAGCATGTGTTCGTGTTTGTGTGTGCGGTCTGCATCACTCATAGCACGTTCCTATATCGTGCGCTATATCTAAATTTTTTTCTATCGATATCGAAGAAGGTGTACCGTCGATAAATATTGATACCGTTTTATCGCCCAGGCCTATCTCAGGCTACATGTAAAATTAAGTCAAAAACCAACAAGAGTTTTTTTCACCATGTTTCCAAGTTCTCTACCTCAGGTCCAAAAGAAATGTAGAAAGAATGCACAAACTGAAAACACAAAATAATTTTGTGATATATTTCCATTTGTTATTTTCAAAAGGGAAATACTGACATGGATGTTTCAGAGCAGAGGTCACCTTTTTTAAATCCAAAGGGAGAGATGGACTTTTGTTTGTCTTTATTATTATTTTGTGCTGCATTATTTGGTTTCTGTGTTATTTCTGTTTCAAACGGCAGCAATAAATAACACTTTAAAACCTGGAGAGTGTTCATGTGATTTTATACATTAGTAGTGCTGTGAAATTAATGAATGCATAATAATCGTGATTATTCCTCAGACTATAATCATACCAACAAAATCTATAATCGTTACATCCCTAGTCTAGAGTAATCACAGTTCTGTCAGATTAAACCATTTTGCACCACAGCTACATTTCATTTTCACTGTTTTTTCCCAGTTGTTCTTTCCAGCCCATATCTGTGAAAATGTCATCAACGATGCAGCAGTTTATCACCAAGGGAAATTAAGGCATTATTCCAGCAGTTTTGAAGTTATTTTTAAGTGCTGCATCGACAACCATTTCTCCTTGAAGGATTTTGACAGTTTCACAGGTTTGGAGCTGCCCAACAATTACCCATACTTCCTTGCAATTTTGCTCTCTCGTTCTAAGTCCGCGTCCCACTAGCTGACTCAAATCAGCTCTACTTTGGTCAGGGATGTCACTACAGTCAGTTCTACTGACTGCTCTTCCTGAAATTTCGCCCTCTTCTGTCGAGGGTCTGTCACATTTACTGATTAAGAAAGGAAGAGGGGTGCAACAGATGAAAAGCCCATGCACCACTAAAAGGCAAGGGCATTGTGGCCTGTTGCCAGTGTGGTGGTTTTCAAGCATGTTGCTAGGGTAGTTTTGTTGGTTACTTGGACAAGTCAAAATACCCAAATTTGATCTTAAGACTGACTGCGTAGAAAAGTAACATCACACCACCTCTCAAAAAGCTGCACAAATTAAGATATCATGTCCATAAACAAGTTACAGCTTGATAGTTAAATACTTGGATAGGGGATTTGAATAAACCTGTCTTAAAAAACACCACAATAATGAACAATAGGCTTTACCTTGCCACAAGCCCGACAATGATGCCTTCTTTTAGTGAAGGTGAACTTGACCTTGCACTTCATGCAAATGGGTGCTTGAGAGTCAGGAACCCAAACAGGAGCCACTTCCCCCAAAGAGCTGAAGGGTTTCTTCAATTGCTGTCCTGCCTGAAGGTCATTGTCTGGACTGTCTGAAGGGATGAGTAAGCCTGAAGAGCTATCTCCATGCTCTCCATTCATTCGAACGACCCCAGACTCAGTTGCTCCACAAGGCTCCTCAAGGCCTCCTGTTCTACTCTGTGGCTCCAGGTTTTTGTTCTTGCCAGTGGAGCCAAATTCATTCTGGACTTGGCTCGAGAAAGGCTGGGGAATCTGCAGCTTTAGACTGACAGGCTGTTTCGGGCGGGCACCACCGTAAGGAACGCTGACAGGCTGCAGACGGCTGTTGTTGAGTTTGCCCATTCTGCCAGATTCCAGTCCTCGAACTGGATCACAAACCTCTTGTTTGCTTTCCTCCATTTCTTTTTCCTCCATCACAGAGTCCTCCTTTGAAGGGACCGCTGGCTGTCTTTGTGCATCTCCACCATGATCCACAGTCAGACCATTGGATGATTCAAACACTCTGTGCATTCCCTCGTGGTCGCTCTCTATGGTTTTCTCTTTCTCTTCCTGATTTGACGCCCAGGTGTCTTTCCCTGCACTTTCATTCTCAACCAGTCCTCCATTTTGAAAGGCACCCTCATGATTCTCCCGCTCACAATCCAGTTCTCCGCCACCATTCACTGATTTGTGCAAAACTGCTTCCCCTTTCTGGGGATTGCTTCCTTCTGGAAATACCAGATTACAGTCCCTCATTCCGTCCCTCATTGCCTCCATCTTAACACCATTATTCAAAACTGGTGGCCCATTCCCACACTGTTTGTCGAGAACAGTGAAATCTTGAAGACCACCACCACTTCCCTCGTCAATACCATTCTGCTCCGTCTTAAACTCACTGGGGCCAGTGTCCTTTACACTTTGCTCATCTGTAACAGTATAGCTTGTCTCATCATCGCCGCTAAGATCAGGACTAGATGGATAACCGTTTTCCAGCACCACTCTGTTCGAGGACGGCAACTCTGGCAACTGCCCATCAGTGCTCACCAGCTTGCCAATGTTGGGCTGGGGCAGAGGAGGACTGTGAACATCTGCTGGCCGTTCTTCACTCCTGCCCTCTGGCTGTTGCCCCACCCCCGGTTTCCCTTCTAACCTGGTGACCTCAGCCAAAGAGGGGCCATCTGACGTCTGGGCGTCTAGAAGCGGCTTGAAGCTGATAGGGCTGTCCCTTGGGCTGAGGTCGGAGTGGGTCAGTGCCGGATTCAGGGAAAGGAGGTGCGATGGTGGGGCGAGAATCTGGGTCCACTTGGCATCCGAGAGAGTCGGCGTGTCCGTTTCATCTGAAAGGATGAGGAGAGAGCTCATTAGCTTCCTTTTTGAGAAGATTGAAACAAACAGAAGATAAATTGAGAAATGAGGTCAGGCTAGATTGGAAAATGTTAAGGAAGTGGGCCAATCTGGTCATCGCCTTGGGATCCATCTGTCAAACTGACACATGAATACTTTGGAATGTGGTCAGAGACTCCCTTTCTCCTACATACATACAAGCGTGATCAAGCACACACATACACACACTGCTCTCCCTGCTTATTCGCCTTTCTTGTGGGGCCATTTAATAGTTTCGAGTCTCCTTTCACCCCCATTAATCTGTCAAGATTAGTGTCGGAGAGGGAATATACATTCGTTCCACCGTTCAGTGGCGACACTAAGAGGGTGGCTGTGTGTGAGGCAAGTCTGTGTAGCTTTTAATGTTCTTTGTGGCATACAGGACAAAGCAATCAATAAATTTCAAACAGTCAATTTTATATGGCTGCGCAGCAGAAGCTGTTGTCCGCTTAACCCAGAACGGTGAACAAAATAACACTAATTGCAATATCCTGCTTTAACTCAAATGCACATGCAACCTTAACCTTGTAAATTGCATGTGCTTGACTATGTGACACCAATTAAACAGTGTTCAGGAAAATCAGGGAAAGGCAGTAGTCCTGAGGGGAAATGCTAATTCAATTGACCCCATTTACACTACAGGCTGCTGCCACCAGCACAGCTACCTGCTTGTGCTAGCCATGCTGTGTGCAGTTCAACCCAAGCGGCAACGTCAAACGCTTGTTCTACTTCTATCGGCACCTGTGTTACTCTGTGTTTAGTTCATTATGCTCTAATTCACCTGACTGTGTGGGTTATCTGAAGATATGTAAATGTGCTGAGACAGAGTATCTTTTGTTCTGTCTAACATTACAGAAGTATGCCCTCAGAACATTCCTGACTGTCAGAGCTTTATTCTTTAGAGGTTTTGCAAGTTAGCAGCATTCTCTTACCTTCGTTCTGTTCAAACTCGTCCAGCACCTTGTCCAGGTTAAAGGCCTCAGCCTGGAAGTAATTCTCCATGGGTCAAGAAACTCCACCCTGCCAAGTGCCGTGTGAACCTGAAAGGGAAGTTGCCTTTTCCATGAGCATATAAATACAATATTTTCCACATGCACCAGGAATACAGAGTGCTAACAAGTTAAAACCTCATAAAAGTACAGTGAACTGTGAAAGTCTTCCAGAGTCTGGAAGAAGATCTGATTAAACAAAAAAGTGATATTTTGTGATGCTCAATAAAATGTCATAAAAATGTCAGTTATACACAATTTATTGGTACCTTATCAGTTAAAGGCTGATCCAGATTACATTTTTGTAACTTAGCACCATTTACTGGCTGATATTAAATATTTATTTACATTTTTTATTAAATCTTCAACTATTCACATTATCTGTGAATACTAACTTCTTGTACTAACTAAAAGTGATAGTGACAGACTATGGCAAAAATTTACTCTCTAAAGACATTTGCATTTTACATTTACATTTTTATCCAACATTTAAGAGACTTACGAATAGGAATACAACAAGCGATTCATCATAAGTGATTTATCACAGAGTAGGGTTGTGTCGGTGAGGAAATTTTCCCACCGGTTAATCGCTAATTCACGCATGCACCTACGTGCGAGCGAGCGGTTGTGAAGCATTGCAAACGCATTGCAAACAAGCTTGTCGGTTTAATTACAAAAACTGCTAAGTTATCACTTCATTGCTGAGAAATATATGTAGCTTTTAGCTGTTGTAATTTCAAAATTCACGGGGGGTTGAAAACCAGCTCCTGAATGTGCAATTTCTTACCTATAAAAAGTTTCCATCTCAATAAAATGCGAGCGCATACAGCACGCCGGCATTACAAATCTTTATGAGCAAATGTGTCGCCCTCGCATTGGGAGTTCTGCGGAGAATCGGATATGTGTGTTTAGACGTAGGACGTTCAGTTTTTAATTGTAGTGTCTGTTCTTTTACTGAACTAAATGATTTTTATTACTATAAAAAATCAAAACGACGGTGGGGGTCGGTGACATGGTGGGCATGTGACGTAACCGGTGTTGCGGCTTAACACCGGTATCACCGTCAACACCGTCTATCGCGGCAAGCCTATCACAGAGCCTTTTCCCCTTTAAGTGTACATTTCGAATAGTTTATAATTAACAAAACTATCAACACTAGGGATGTGACAATTCTCTCAACTCACGATGCAATACAATTCACAATACGGTTTTCTCACAATTTTTTTTTTACAAAATAAGATTTAATTATAAATGAAAAGATGTCCTTTTATTTTTTCTCAGACAAAATGCTGCACAATTCTTTGAGAAATTGAAATGTCAAATAACGAAACTAAATTGAAATTTTAAAACAAATCCCAAATCAAATAAATAATACAAATAAAAAAACATTTCTTCATATAAACCAACTAAGGCTTTGCCTGTGCTCTTTCCATTTAAAATTAGAGGCAACCAATTAAAACTAGATTGTATAATTTCAAAATTTGAAGCAAAAACAGAATGGTCTGACTTTAGCTTTGTGAAACTATAGTGAAACTTTGTGAAACTTATATTGAACATTTGAACAAAACAAAACCATCAGACGGGTGGACCATCAGAATGAGACACAAATTCCCTCTCTGGCAGCAGGTGGCGCTTATGGAACAGCAGCACTACAGTGTTTCCTTGGTTATCGCTGTAAATAAAGCAGCGCTGCGCTTATAAATACTACATTAATATGCCTTACACTGAGCCAAGACAAAAAGAAAATACCAAGATGGTCGTCACTGCAGAACACAAGATCCAGGGGGCGTTGGATCCAGATCCAACTCCTCCCACCTTACATATACCTAAACCTACCCGTCTCCACCCCCTGATCCCTAAACCCACCCATCTCCACCCCTAAACCTACCAATCTCCACCCCCTAGATCTGGATCCAACCATGCCCCCTGGATCTTGTGTTCTGCAGTGAGGGGCTACTGAAAATACTAGGGCTGCACGATAAATCGCATTCGATATTTAACGCGCATCTTGTCAGTAAAGCCGGTTCTTTAATCAGCGGTAAATCTCCATCACTTGCGGGCTTTCACATGGAGCAGCATTAACTACACAGA